AATTATTATTATTTTGTATATATATTATAAACAGATTGTTGATGTTTGTAACACTTGTAAATAATAATTATGATGATAAATTTGAGGATGTTAGATTTGGAAGTAAAATCAACACTGTAGCAGCAAATGTATATAATTGTTTAAAATAACTTACGGGTAAATTTGATTTGAATATTGAAAAATAAAAAATTCGGTTATTACAATAATATTATTGTAATTTGATTTTGAACAAATAGTAAGTTCCTATCTGTCTTGGTTAGGTGATTGGAATATAAATTCCTAACTGTTTTGTTAGGTGATTAGCTATACAGCTTTTTTTTTCTTTTATTTCAGACTTTCACAGAATTTATAAAACAATTCATTAGATATGTGAACTGTTACATATTCAATACCAGATTAAATACACGTCATAGTATTTCAGCATCAATGGATACTGAAATAAGTCACATGATTAGTCAGTTACTAGTAGTATCAATATTAAGAAGACTCATGCTTTTTATTTAAATCTACTAATACTATAAAAATACTTTTTAATCAAGACATTCAAAAGGACAGATTATTAAATTAAAAAATAGTATTTAAGCGAGATCCCAAAGTTATTTCGGATTATTTTTTTTATTAGTTATTATGGGTGTTCTAGAATAGGTTTAAATATTTATTTTGAATTTTTTATTTTTTTTTGCTCTGATTCGTAGTATGCTTATACTTGCTAACAAAACCTGAACAAATTCCAAACCCCTAAAAAAACAAATTGCTTTATAAAAAATCAAATCAACAAAATAATTTTAATATTTTGTAATTATATCAAATATAGCTATAAGAATATATATTATAATTTATAAGTATTTAATACTAGATACAAATATGTGTATCTGAAATAAATTAATTTACTTTAATTTTTTTTATTATTATTTATTATTAAATTTTAACTTGCATATATTAATTGTAAATTAAAATATTTTATTTTTTTAGTCATAAAGTGCTACATTTCTAAGCTTAAAATTTTCTTTCTATCCTATAATTTTTATGTGGCACTAATATTGATATTGAAGTGTCTATTATTTTATATTTCTCTAAGCCTTATGGAAATCAAAGATAACATAATATTCTATAATTGTTAGTCTCAATGTTTAAATAGATAAAAGCACAAGACTTTAGAAATTATATTTTTCCAAATTTATTAAAAAAATCTTCTACCTTCCATATTTCTTGACTAAATACTGCGAAATAAAATTCTTTTTTTTTTCATCTATATTGTCAAATGTGCGTATAAAATCAAGATCACGATGAGACATTTCATCTTGAAAAAATTTCTGTAGTATTAGATTTTTCTCAGACTTTTTGTTGGTTTGTTCTATTATATTATTAGTTATCCATACTGGATAAGTACATACGCACTCCATTGGGAATGCACCAGTATATTCCCAATCTATAACCCCTGTGATTTCATCATCAATGACTAAAATATTTGTGAATGAAAGTCTCCATGCATCAGTACAAACATGGTTTTGTTATCATCTGGAAAATATTTAGGAATTAATTTATATAATTCTTCATATTTTGGAATCTAGTATGTTTGTTGTTCTATAGATTTAAAGGTATTGTGATAAAGGATTTGATTTCAAATAACAGCTGAAATATATTCATTAGCCGTGTCAAAAGGGCCTTGTCTATGGTCAATAAAGTCGCTCGTTCATCAGTAAAAAAGTCGTTTTCAATAAACTGACCAATTTTAAATTGGTCATTTTTACTATCAAAAAAAATACTACCAATTTTTGAAAATGTGAGTTTTTTAAGTTCCAATTGAATGTCAATAATTTTTAAAAGAAATATCTTTTTTTTCTATGCTGAGATCACTCCAGATGTTGCAAAGACAAATATCAGGTAAATGTTCTATTAAAATATATTCTGCTCCTACTGGATTATTGACAGAACTATTCCAATAATAAACTTTGGGAACAGGGATGTTCGTATTTAAACGAATATACTCCATAGCTGCTACCTCACTTTCTGTCTTCCATTATAGATATACAGGGAATACTACTCTTCCAATATATTCTTTACCATCTTCCATTTTTAAGATATATACTTTATGAAAACCACCTTCGCTAAATTCTTGTATAGAGGTATATTGTATGTAAAATATGTTAAATGCGGACTTTTGTAAAGCATCCAAA